TCAATAATGGAAACCAGCTTTTGATTGGGTAAAAATAGTGTAATCAGGTGATTTTTAGGCCTAAAATTTCGCAAAATCATACCACAAGACCTACCGATTCCAAACTAATGTCCAGTACGCAATGTTTCCCAGATGCGATCACACTATCCAGAGCAGCTAATCGTATAACACCACCCGATCCAGCGGTACCTCCGCCACCACAGTAATCACTTGGCGACGGTTCAGCGAATCGAGTCGGGAATTGCGACAATAGGTACGACCTGGCGACATCAGCTAATGGTCCGAACAAGACGACTGGCCTAAAAATGAAATGTTAAAGTCTCTATAGGTTACTATGGTAGGTTAAGCACTTGAGGTGTTTACCTGTGGAAGCTCGGCGTGTTCAACGCCACTCGCTCATAAGCCGGAGGTGGGGCGCTGGAAGAGAGCTCGGTCGGATCGGTCAGCACATTCTTCGGCAACGATTTCGTCCGACGGGACTCCAGTTTACGCCGAAGCAACGTACCTCCCTCGTCCTTTAGTCTCTACCAGTCGCCGTTGCTCGCGTGCCAATGACTCCGCCGTTGCCTGAAATCCTTTGATTATTCTCTGACCCCAAGATTCCTGCGCAACTTGTACTTTGGAGCGGTTCAATAGGATTAGGGAAAAATTTGTCAAGTAACTCACCTGGTTCGGAATCACTCCCTTTGGTGGTTCTCCTTTATTGGCATTGGCCGAGTAGACTCTGGAAGCTTGCCAAAGACCGACCGTACCGCCGAAAAGCGTGTCGGTGATATGAAAAATGTCACCTTCGCTTACGGACAGTTCCAGCGGGCTCGACTTCTTCTCTTTCGTAAAGTGCGACCTGAAAGCAGTTCCACACTGCAGCAGGTACCAATCTGGGAGTTTTTTTAATCAGTGAAGCCCACACACTTCTCCCCTGTCTTACCTCGATTGGAAACTCGTAAAAAAACTATGGGGTACTTCGAGGGTAACTGTCCCCCCAAACCAGCAGCTCCCTGTTGAACATGGGCATCGCTGCCGACTGCAGTAATGACCTTGTCATTATTCAACTTGACAAACTGCCCTCGTATAGCACCTTTATTGAAGCGCTTAAAGTACAATTCCTGAACATCGAGTAGCCTTCGAAACTCCTACCCCGCCCACTTTACGAAAAAAAATGTATGAATAAAAAATAAGTAATAAAAATTTCCAACCTAATGTAGAAGTTATCTCCCAGCTGACTGTTACGAACGTGTTCAAAGTCCTGCCGGGCGTGTTCCAATCGTAATGACACATGATCGTCGAGGGCTAGAAGCAGTTGAACAGCCGACTCCCGGGTCACACCACGCATCGGCCGACCATTCACCTAAAATAAATACGTATCGATTGATATCAGAATCACACAGGAAAGCGGTAATCACGCCAGCACCAGCTTTTTCCTAGTCACACCCTACCGTATTGGCGAAGGGAAATGCTTCACAATGTCCTCCAGACCTAACGTCTTCGAAATCTTCCTTGTCAGTATTCTATCTGAACTATCCCACTAGTCTGACCCGGATATATTGTCGGAATGAATGGAACGGCGAGGTCCGTGCGACCCACCAAAAGTACGTCCTTTGGCGCGACCCTCCCTCACAATCTACTTATCACTTTATCAAGAATTTCCCCAAGGTTTTGCCATCCAGCAGCCGGGAGGGGAGGGAGTGGAGACTCCTCCAACCAGTTATTAAATGTAGTAGAGTTGCCACGCCGTCAACTAGAGGGTCAACAATCCGTGCCTGAAAGGGGAAAAACCAACAACAAAAAATGTGCTAATCAACCTAGAAGAAGGAGGGGCCATTTTGCACTTTCGCTAGTTCCATTTGTTAGATCATGCTAATTAACAGGTCCCACTTCGATGAGACCTGTAAACGCCCGTGAAGCGGCGAAACGGTACAAGCGAGCTACTTTGTATGGAAGAATTCACAGGTATTTACATGGTAGTCCGTACTAGCTTCTTGAGTACTACTTGGTGCCCCCACCAAAGCGCCAAAGCGAAGTGCGCTCAAGGAATATCTTGCAATATCAGAGGGTTCCCGAGCTTCATCGTGTCATAAGTCTTATTTGCGGTGGATATAATGAAGCTCTTTCCAGTCCTTCATTCCACTGACTACGTTTCGGGCCGTAAGCCCTTCTTCAGGTCTACAAACATCAATATTGCCTACACCAACATCATGTAGACAATATAAGTGGTAGGGTCCGAAACGTAGTCAATGGAATAAAGGACTGGAAAAAGTTTCATTATTTCCATCGCAAGGAATGTCTCTAAACTCTCCTTCATAACAGCCAAAACAGGAGCCCCCGGATGGGTTCGTTCATGGATGATCTACGCTGAGTCTGACTCCACTTTGCCCCTTCCGGCAGAGATCTCTCATCGCTCGTTCTCATGCATTTTCCCCTTTATAAATTGTCCGCAAGATGGAGAGATCAAAAGGCATTTGATCATCTGTTGTCGGGAAATGCGGTTTATTGGATCCCTGTCGCAAATATGTTTTCTTATCTCACTACTGTAAGTCAGACTCACCTCAACGATACGATCCCCACAACAAACGCCATGAAGCGCTGCCGGTGAATCGGCTGCCACTGCCGAGACAAAAATACCAACTTCGTTACCACCGATCACACGAATTCCAACGCTTCCGCCGACCTGTAAAAGAGCGATGAAATTTCAGCAATCCCATGGTGTACACTAAGAATCTATGGACCTTTTTGGCACTATCGACACGCAAACATGAATGTTCCTTCTCAATCAATTGAACTGATGCAGTATATTGGCTGATAGGACCAGTTCACCTATTGCTCGACACAGGTCTACCTATTTTTTTCAACTTCGGAGGAACCCTGCCGATAATACGCGAGACAAGTAGTAGGAGCGGTAATGCTACACAGAAAAAGGAAACTAATTTGGCGCAAAATGGCTCTGTCGTAAAAATGAATGTCATAACCGTGACTGCGACAGTTAGAAAGATCTGCACATACGTCCCAAAAGGAAAAAAAGGACGCGATGGTTCAAGCCCAACTTTTTGCGAGTGGAAGGCACGGGCGTAGCGCGGCTCTCGTAAGACTGCTTACTGCTAGCAAAAACTTATGAGAATCAATAGCTCTTAGATCAACCAAGGGAAATAAAAATCAGGTTAGCCCCTTTGCAGTGGGCTAGACAGAAAACGATCTCTCTAGTACTCAATAAAGGTTTAGAAACTTTCCAAACATGTGAAGAACCCTAATGGATTTTGACAGGACATTCCAGCCTAGTCGCACGGGTGGGGCGAGGGCATAAAATGTTCCTGACCCTACCATCTGAGACAGTGAGGAGGAGCGCACCGATTAGCAAGGCAATATGGTGGGCCCTGCTCCGCCCAACTGACGATCGGAATCGCCTGTATCTGTAGGTGGCTTGGCCGCCTGAACAATACTACCACATTCGCTTAGAGCCAAAACGCTAAGCGTGCGCCATATGCGCCTGCGCTAGGAGCCAGTATGGCGCCGGGGCTAGGCACGTGCATGTCAAGGGGATGTGACATTCGCATTCAGGAGGTCGAACTATCCTTCGCGGTGAGTTTCTGGCAAATCTGGTGCTTTGAGAAGTTCTGGCGGAGGCGCTTGTGGACTGGACGCTCGGCGTTTCGGCTTCGAGCGAGCTGGTGTGATACCATTCAGTGGGCAAAGTACTGGTGGGGGCGATTTAGGAGAGTGGGGGCAGTCAAGTGAATAGTGAACCTAGCGACTGATGTTCTGTTCCCTAATATTAAAAAAGGTACCAAGAACGCGAACCTAAAGAGCAACATCGCTCCACGAAATATAGTTTGCGCCCTAGGACTTAAGGGGCGCCTTC